AATTATAATATAATATAATTCAACACAATCACAGTCATGACTACAGGCACGATAACCCAAACGCATCCTAAAATTTTAAAAAATTTGGATTGGTTCGGTGCAAGATATTGTTCAAGACCTAAGGATTAACAGTATAGTTAGCAAAAGAATTTGCTGTCTCCTTATGGATTAACTAAACCGACATAAGTTCTCAGACTAAAGCCGCGCCAAAACCCGACACATATGATGGGTTGATGGCCTACCAACACCATACGCGGCAGCAGAAAGCGCAGCAACATTTGGAAGATATGCAATGTTAGGAAGAAAATCAGCACTCATAATAGTAGGGAAGGTTGTTACAATTGAGATTTTACTTAAGAATAATTAATTTTAAAAATTTTAATTATTATTTATAATTTCAGGAGAATTTAATTTTTAAAATCATTTAAAATTGCACGATTTCACTATTTTGTGCATGATCTTCGATCAATTTTTTAAGACTTATGATTTTTATTCGATTTAGACCATTAAAATAATTTAACATCATAAAATTGTACGATCTTACAATTAAGATAGTGATTTTAACAACCATAATAGTAGCAGTGGGAAAATCTGACTGCTGCTACTGGCCCCTTTTTTATTTTTTGAATGTGAAAGCATTGGTTCTTTGTTTTTTTTTTTTTTTGAACTTTTCATAAATTTTCTAATTCATTTTTGAATAACCTTTTTTTTATTAGATTAAAAAAAAATAGTTTTGAGATAAGCATGAATTATGACAGTTAAACTTAAGAAAAATAAATGCTTTTAGATTTTGTTCTATTTTTTAACTCTTCTCAAGACATGCTTTTGATGTTTTCCTAATTAAGATGTATTCTTTTTTTTTCTTTTATTTCTTTTATTTCTATTTTGGGTTCATAATGGAAGGAAACCTCTTCTATTTCTTAATCCAATCCATCCACCTTTACATTATGGGACTCAAATTAATGAAATTATTATTTTTTTTTGAACAGTTTTGTCATGGGACGGGTTCGAAACCCGCTCAGGGGAGGGGGATGTGCATTTTTCAGTGGCTTTATCCACTGGGCCACACGGGCCAAGTGCATTAATGAAATTATTATTGATCTACTGATGTGGTTGGTAAAACATCAAATATAAAATTAAAAGGAGAATAATATCTTTTATTACATAATATTGTCAAATATAAAAATTAAAAATAAATTCATAAAATGAATACTTAAAAGCTAATCACCAAATAACCTAAGCAGCCCAATACTAAACTCATTTTTTATGTAAATAAATGATATTAAATTCAAGTTATATAACATGCAAATAAAATGAATTAAAGAATAAAATAGAGTTATCGCTTATTGTTCAACTTAAAATCATAAATATATATTATTAAATATATATGTTAACGATCTAAATAATTCAGTGGTTATTTTTTTTCGCTGAAAATAAGAAATCATGAATTCGAGTCACATGACATACAGATGAAGTAGGATAAGAAATATGAGGCTTTGTGCAACTAAGATAAATATATATATATATATATATATCTAACGAAATTTTTTTTTTATATGGGCTATAAAACTTGATTGATATGTCACGCTGATTATGAGCCCTAGCAGTTAAGAAATTAAACTGAACTATTCCCGTGATGAAAAAAATCAATAAATAAATCCATTGTTCCCCACCACGTTTTTTCTTTTAGCAATTAATTTATATGAAAATTTTTTTAAAAAAATTGATATTAATTTTAATATTAATATCATATATCTTAATTTAATTAGTTAATTATTGAAATTAAAATTAAATCTTTTTATATAATTTAATGATAAAAGAAGTACATTAATTATTTTTTAACATGTCTTTAAATAAAGTTTTTTTTCTAAAACTAAAAATGCTTTTTGTGACATATACCATTAAGATATATGCTAATAATATAATAAATATATTTTTTATAATTAATTTTTATTAAAAATATAAATATTAATTTTA